TTCCAGAAAAATAGAAATGACGTAGCCTTTACGCCTTTTGATACAATGCATACGTGGCGCGGAAATACTTGCGGTGACTCAGAACGTGAATTTTACTACGCGCGCCACGATCATCCACGCAAAAATATATATGTAAACAAACTTGGAGATGTTAAAAAAAGCGTAATAATGCTCAGTTTATAACCTCGTGACGCAATTTTATAGGCTCTGGCAGCTTATCTAGTCTGTAGCGAAGTCCCTAATTATGTGCTCTAACCTCACAACTTTCAAAAATAACAAAAAAAGATACAGGGAACTTTCCAACGTCATCTTGCAATTGTTTTGCGCATGGAGACAACTGGAATAGCAATATTTAATGCGCATGGTACGTGGCTGTTAGATATTAAAGCAATGTTTATTCAGCGGAAAATAAGAACTCATAGGAAGCCAATCACCTCAATTAGAAGCTGCCCTTTTTTGATGACTGAAATATATACCTGTTGCTTGAATTATGCAGGTATCTCTGAAGTGTGTCTCCAGGCCTGTCTGCGGACGTCGTGTGGAGCTTACAAATTTTAACAATAATCTATGAAGTCTTGCGTGCCAAAACCACGATATCATTACGAGGTACGCCGTAGTGAAAAGCTCGTAAATTTCGGCCACCTTGGGTTTCTAGGTCACCCCTGAAGGTTTAGCACACGAGGTCTGGTATTCGGTGTTTCGCCTCCTTCGAAATGTGAACCGCCCCGGACGGGATCTAGTCGGAGCCCATCAGGTCATCAGCCGAGCACTGCTACCATCCTACCACTGCGTGGCAGCCTTCGACTTCAGGCTAACAGGGAACTCCTCTGCAGACTTTTGAATGTCCTCTAACGCACAGTGCAGCCAAGAATTGTATTCTTGGAGGTTGTCACCTCGCCAGCCCTGTGTGCTGAAAAAAAACTTTGAAAGCCAGGAGCCCCTCCACAAATTGTATTCATGGGGTTTTAGCACGTATACCGGAATCCCTTTTGAGGGCGAGGACATACCATGCCGTCACCAAGCATCACGTTTGTGATGTGCTAAGTTGGATTGCTCCACCAACCATCCATCGCGGAGCGCACTGCGCAGCTAAGTCGTCTTTATTAGGGCAAAAGTAATCGATGGCTCATGAAAGAAAGCAGAAATATAAGGGCTCGTTTTTCTTTGCTGGACAGAATATTAGTTAAACTGACAGAACATGAGGCCAAGAAACTTATAGGAGATGTTGTTAGTAAATATGAAGCTAGTGAATGTGTTGTTTGTCAATGTGAAGAAACGACAGTGAACGAAAAGAGACTGCCACTGGCAGAGGCAAAACCTCCGCTCTTCGAATAACGTGTCCGATGCTCTACTGATTTACAGGCGTGGTAATCTATCTGTCCACTTTATTAAATATATATATGAATGGAAACCTGCGAGTGTCCGTCAGCGCCGCTGCCAAGACGGCGAGTATGAAGCCCTCTTTCCCCTGCCTGTTGGGCTTCGCGTAGCAAACGATCCTATTATGAGCTGGCAGCCGGCTAATCAATCCGTGAATACTACGTGACGCCATCATCTTGGCGTATCATCTGCCTCACGAAGCATGAAAGTTGACCTTTGCCTTTGACGTTCCGCGTTGGTGGTGTGAACACGTCTGTTAAAAAAAAATCATGCGATGGCATGGCCTTGAGGTTAGAGATCACCAAAATTTGTGACGTCATAGAGACGTGTCTATAATGTCCTTATGACGTCCAATGACGTGACGTCATACGATATCACATGCAAAGGTAGACCGAACACGGAGGCTAGCCAAAACCAAAGGTCTCCCAGATTTAACCACACTGTTCTGAACACAGTTCGCGAAAGAATCGTGCCAGTGCCGCGCCAGTTCCTCTAGTGTTAGTAAAGCATGAAACTAGCGCGTTCGGTGCAGCCGTAAAATCGAGAGCAAAAGTGCGGCCACGACATGGGTGTTTCGCTACTTGCACGGGACGAGAACTCGCGGAGAAGCTAGTGTTGAAGAGCCAATGAAATTATGCAGTGCGACGTCAAGTCGAGGGCACATGTGCAGTTGGCGCAAAATGCACTCGCCAAACCGAGCGCCAAAGTTTCGCATTCTTCCACTAGCGCAGATAGCGGAGCCAAACCGAAGAGACCTCAAGGCGAGCAGCTGAACAATGGTGCATAAAGGCAGCGCTTCAAAGAAAGCAGACAGGTCGATACGCTCTGTTTGTGGCGTTCTTGGCTGCGTTATCAGTAAAGCTGCTTTTACAAGCCATTGTGTTTCAACTAGCCCCTACACAAACTTTTCTGGAATACCGAAAGCTTCTATTGCCTTCAATTTTGCAAGCTGTACAAAACCACGCTGTTCAGAAAGCTTTTGGATGGTGGTGGTAGAAGGGGGGGGGGGGGTCAATACGACATGGCGTTTGTCTTCGGGTTGTTTTGGGTGAATCCAAACATCTGCCAATGTTTCCTTTCATGTTTGAACCCCACTTCGAAAATATTGATTTACAGTAGGAACAGACCAGCCAAAGAACTGTTACAAAAAGTTAACTGCCTTATATAGCCTTAAACACGTTTAACTTTATTACGCGACGACAACCGAACACGAAGAATGCCGCTGTCGTCTGCTACGGTTGCCAGTGCGGAAACCAGTGAGGCGGAGTCTGCTCGGTTCGCGAAAGTGTCACTAGTTAAGCTCTGCAGTGTCCTTGTATAAACAAACACACTGGTGTTGAGAGAATGACCTGCAGCGTGTCACCTTATGCGCTACAGGTTTGCGATGGTTGTTACATTTTCCTACTACTTTGCCTTTTCTGAATGCACAGAATTCGGCTGTACTTCATATGATATTTGTCGGGGGTTTCGCGTCCAAAAAACGCGACATGAATGGGAGAGAAGCTGTAACGGAGGTCCTGGTAATTTGGTGACATGAGGTTTATGTGCTTCTAAATATGAGCACACGAATTTGTAGCAGATTGTGTACATCGAATAGTGGCCGTGAAATTGGTCCCGAGAATTAACACGGTGTTACCTGACATATCACCCAAAGTAAAAAGCACCACCGCCACGGCCGTATTTTTGATCAAGATGGAAATACCTGAGGCCTTTGTGCCTAAGTAAGGTGCCCATTAAAGCATCCCAGGTGGTAGAAATTTTCGAAGACCTCCTCTGCGGCATTTCGCATAATTATCTGGTCATTTTAGAAAGAGTAACTTCCTGAATTACTATTGTCATCGAGGTACAAGGTCATTGTTCTAGAAGGCGTTGGCTCGCAGTACACACTAATCAGCGCATATAGCACACATGATTACGCACGTCTTATATGCCGGTCAGTTCACTTCGTTCGTCAGAGCACTCGATGAAGAAAGGACAACAACCAGAAATAACGTCAGTTTTGTGCTCTATGGGATGTATTTTTTTAGTGACCCCGAGGTAATAATAATAATTTTTTGGGTTTTACATGCAGGTTCAAGATGTGATTTGGAGGCTCACCGGAGAAAACTCCGAAAATTACGACAACTTGGTGTGCTTTCAGGTGCACTCATTTCGCACTGTTCACTATCCCCTACTGTTTTAACCTCCATTGAAATGTGACCGCTGCGGCCAGTATTCAACCTACACCTTCAGGGTCACCAGCCGCCTACTCTTCGACCTTCCGCGCAAATTCATCAACAAACACAAGTATATGTACAAGCATTATTTAGTTAGTGAGTCTTTCTTACACCTGCACACTAAAAAGTGCTTCACAGTAGACTGGCGGCGAAGTAAAAACTACAGCGGCTGTGGAACAACTGACGACATGGCCGCGCGAAGGCAGAGTGTGGAGCCGCGCGGAGCACCGTCCATTCTCAAAACACGCTGTGCTACGTGAAACCTCCCCAGCTCACCAAGGCTTGCGTCATTTCGAGTACCGTAGAAGGTAGTCCCAAAAAGAACATCACGTATGGCCAATCGAGCGCTTTGACAAAGTGAAGAGGCCACCGTGAAGGGACCTTTAATCAAGAATAATTTATTTTAACGAATACGATTCGCTGCTGATGCCTTCCTACACAAGTTCACAGCCTATACAAATATCAGATATGATGCAATTCTCAAATAGTGTGTGACAGACCGAAAATTCGCCCTAAAGCGCAGACACCATTGATGTTTTGCGCCTTGGCTGCACTGCTAGTTTATTGTCAAGGTGACTACATTTTCTGCAGTTGGTTGTTCGGTGTCAACGCATCCTTGGAATTCACGCTACCTATATGCTAGAACTGGATTTATACGAACGTTAAGCAGACCAATGTGGTGGAAAATTAACATTATTTGTGATTCGTATTACAATAGAAACAACCGAGAACAATGCTGCTAAATACTATGAGTAATTTATTTATCAAACGGAAGAGCCTATCATTGATTATATTTATAGTTTCTATATTTTTTTCACTTCTAGCAGACGCTCACCACGGAGTATCAACAAGACGAGCATCCGCTAACACGAAGCCGATGAGCAGCGCCAGAACTTGGCAAACGAACGCGAGTTCCCCCAGAAAAGTGTCGGCTCATAGCTTTCCTGCTACGCGATACTCGAACAGATGCGACTTTCACTTCTCCTTTCCCTTTCGTTTTACGTTTGCAATATTTGTTTGTAGTTTCCTCCTCTCCCTTTTAAAAGTCCGCTCTCAATTACTCGAACCAGCTGTGGATCGGTGGCATCGGCCACCCACCGCATAATTCTTTTTTTCATTCTTCCTACGAAACGTGCAACGTTTAGACATGCGGTGAACGTACGCACGCAGATATATAATTGGCGTGCGGCACTGTACGGAAGAAACGAGACAAGCCAGGTTAAAGAAGCCTCTCACTACCGGACTCTCACAGCCCCAGACCGCAATTAAAGAGGAGGATTCTTCTTTAAGCCGATTATGACAGCAGTCAGGTGACCGGTAATGCTCCCTTCCCGATCTTCCCTCTCCGCACGCGCTTTCGCACCCTTCCCCCCGCAGGCAGCCACCTTTTGGCCGATCTCCTTTCGCAAGCATCGGAAAAACTAGTAAAGCTCCGTATCACCGATCGTGGCGTACAAGGAGCCACTCCAGCTGAACAGAGCGGCCACTTATGAAGAGGTGACCGCTAAGCTCGCGTCGCAAAGCGTATCGCCTCACAACGACATAGCGCCCACTTGAACATCGGCCGACTGCGCTGCCGACTGTACCGTTCTTCTGGTGATGCTTCCTCATCCAAAGGATTACCGAGACTTGGCGTAGGCACTTGGTGAACCGGGTGTCTTGCGTGAGTTCGGTTCGGCGGAAGCCCTCTTATCGTGGCTTTAGTTCGGCCCTCTAGGATTTAGCTTACGGTTCCCATCGAAGGTTTTCAGAACGGCACAGGCCCCACTAGTCAACAGTGATGGCTCCAGCGGCCGAGTACATCGTGTTCGGTGGCCTGATGGCCCTCAATTTCGGTCTTGGGCTGTACTTCTCACTAAGGCGTAAGGCCCGGTCTGCGGACACCACGACCGAAGTATTTTTGGGCAGCCGGGCCCTCCGTTCATTCCCACTGGCTGCATCGGTCGTGGCCAGCCTCATCTCGTCCACGGGACTCGTCGGTTTCACGGGACACTTTTACGCGTATGGCTTCCACCTGATCTGGAGTGGTCTGACCACGATAGCGGTGACACCGTTGGTGGCTGGCCTGTTCCTTCCAGTGTTCTACTCCCTGCGCATCACGTCCGTGTTTGAGGTGAGATCTGGTGCCTATTTGTCTTTTTACGTTCTTTTTTTTCTTCATCTCGCTCCTCTCAATCAGTCATTCTGTGTTAGCTGTTAATTGCAGTCTTTATCTAATTTGTCAGGTTTAGTGTTTGAAAATCATAGAGGCATGAGGCGTGCCGCGATATCCAGATTATTTCGGACCTCAAGGGAATCTGCAGAATACACTGAGCTCTGAGCAGATAGCTCTCATGTTTTTATTTTGGTTTTCGCAACGATATAAGTTTTGCTGCGGGGATCGGGAGTCGAACGCGCGTCTTTGTGCTTGGCGGCGAATCTTAGCCGACATGCTACTATGCCGAACAGCACTTTGACTCTTCATAAAACGTTCAATGTTCACTTCTAATGACTTTTTTTTTTCAACAGCTGCAAGCTAGTGCCCGGAATGCACGACACATATACAGTCATAAAAGTAACTTGAAGCTCTAGGTCTTGGCGAGGGCGCAAATTTCTCCGTAAATTTGCCGTCTAAATTTTCAATAAGTCCACCCTCTCTTTTTTTATTGAGGGGGTTGGCTAACCGAGTGTCTGATTGTATTCACTCGTGATTTCACATGTAGCGTAAAATCTGAGGCATTAAATTTCTCGTCACAATATGGGGAAACGAAAGTGCTGTGGGACTGTTGATCGTATGCTACTGGAGTTTTAGGTAATGAGCAATTTAGTGCGTATGAAAAAACAGGGCAAAGTTTCGCGTTGCCGCATAATTCTTTCTTCCGCGATCATCTAGACGGAGAGCCCCGTCTCCTCATATTTCGAAGTATACGACGCTAGAGTTGAGGCCGATTCCACATTGTGCTGTCGACGGTTTATACATGCCATATCGTTCAGCCACGGATAGGTGTTTATTTTTCTCTTTCTTCCTCTTTACAGCGTACTTGTAAATGATTAGGCGTAACCGAAATTCGTCCGCCCTGTGCGCACAAGATCTCGTCGCACGTATGAGCTACAGGAATTGGACAGATCCCTCGACTAACCTCGGGTCTATTAAAACTGAAAATGGGTACACACGAGCGGCACACAGCGATGAAGTTTTTTTGAGTACTTGCGGTGAATAATTGGAATTTTGTTAATGAACTCTGGGGATCGATTCAGTAATAAATACCGTGGCCACCCGTTCTATTTCGTTGGTTAACCGTGTTCACGGAATGCTCGAAGGGTGATTTGATTTTTTATCTTTTATCACCCGTGAGAGTTTTTTTTATAATCGGTATTGACGTGAAGTAAGGAGATCTTGGTGCCCAAATGGGGCGCTGGCTGCTCCTTATGCCTTAGAGGTGTCTAGCAAAGAGCACGAAAGGTACAAGACTTCAAGCGTAGGAAGTCTACTGCACATACAATAAAATAATACTTTTACTATCTACAGTGCACTACCGGATCTTTAGTTATTACTCATATCCCGCGGGCAGCTTGCAATAATCCCGCTTGTACAATTACGGTCTAAAAATGAAATTACTTGCTAACAACCAAACCCATGGTCAAGAATTATCGAGTTTTTTTATTATTTGCCAGTGCGTTTCACTCGTAAACACCTAAATGGTAAAGGAAATGAAACAGCTGCTTCCGGGGTGATTGTACGTTATGTTGGCAAGAACCGTCCTGTTCCGCGAATCATATCAAACGAAAAAAAGCCTGTTAGCGTGGTTTACGTGCTCGTTTGTAATCTACACTGACAGGAAACTGCTGGATCTGACAAACAAATGCGTCGCCGTGCTTTTTTTTTTCTCACATTACCCTCTCAAAGGAAAAAAAGAAAAAAAAACGCCCGCCTGTGCGGAAGGAGCAGCACAGTCAGTGCGAAAGCTGGAAGAGTGGCATTTCAGTGCTTTTTTTTCTAAACAGCTAATGGGTAACAGCTGCAACCACACTTGCTTAGTATCCGCTATGGCATTGATAATAGTAATTTGGGTGGTAAGCCGGTATTAGCTATGCTATCCTGCGTCATTCTTCTGAGACGTTTGGTATCCGCTTAACACTTGCAAGAAATTTTGTTCCCATTGTTCATGCTATGGCTGACGACGATGAGGAATTATACCGGAGTTGGGTATGCGCCACAGTCAATAGGTGATCGAGAACAAGCTTTTTTAACGGGTTGGGGCATTGGACGATTCACTCGTTATGCTATTCACACTGTGGGACGCCCGGTTGTTCTCTTCTATTCTAAAATGCTCTATTACTCATAATGAATAACGCGATTCATTTCCCGAAGTCAAGCCCGCCTTAGGCAAGTTTGAGAACAACTTCCAAGCACCGGAGTGGCCCCGTAGTAGAATACAGAACTGGCACGCAGCGGATCCGGGTCCCAGTCCAACTGTGTCCCTAATACTAGTTTTCTTTTCTTAACTCGAACGAAGTGGCTATGGACACCGTCGGCGGCGGCAGACAACTACGCGGCGCCACGCGTGACTCGAGCTATAATCTCATAAGAGCTTTCGCTGTAAAATGTAAGAAATATTTACCGTTTGATAGATTGTGCTCTAGTACATGATCGCTGACCTGGTTTAAAATGCTTTACACTTTGTGATGAGAGTACATCACATTTCTGCTAGCTGCTATGCTCGTGATGCTTCCACAAAGAGTTGCATTGGTTTTGCCTGCTCGCCCAACAATAAGATCGAAGCCATTGCCTACAACTTCATAGCAATATTTTTGTGTTACACGCACAGGACACAAAAGCAGCGTATGTGCCAGATCACCCCGTTAGATCATATTAGGTATCCTGGGCGTAATAGGCTGGTCGGGTTGCCGTTTTGTGTACCTGGTAACTAGCCAGAATTGAAAATAAAGTTAATAATTGTATAGCCACGTCCGTTAACTTTATCGCCAAATTTGTAGCCAAACAGAATGGAAGAAATGTTATCAGTAGAACTTTTACAATTCAATTATAAGAATTACCATTTTGAATCAAGAAAATCAGGAACAAAAAGCACATTTTGCCCATTTGTTTGGTATTCAAGACACAAATATGTTGCAAATAGCAAGATAAATTACGAAGAGCTCAGTACACTATGCATGTAGTTTATGTACAAAAACCTCTTGCCACGCTTAGAGAAGCTTCAGAAAGCTTCAGGCTAGAAATCTGTGTAAGCATTGAATGTTTGAGCAGTTTTTTTTTTTTGAAACCAGAGACAGAATTTGAACAGTAGTGCTAACACTTGAGGTAATTAAATCTAGTAATGGTGAATGCCATTCAAGCTTAAAATTGTCACGGATTTCTGTTTTTGCTAAGTTGACATAGGAAAACACATTGTGCAACAAAAGGAGAAACTTGCCCGCAGTATCAGTATAAATAATGAGTGGCGCCCGCAGCGTACCAATTACACATTTGCCAACATTTGCCAACATTTGCCAACACACACACACACACACACACACACACACACACACACACACAAACACACACACACACACACACACACACACACACACACACACACACATATATATAGCAGCATTTGTCACAGTATCGAGAGCATCTATATTATAAATTCTTTTAGCATGCACAAAAATTTTTTATAATATGAATTCATGCCAACACACCCAACTATCTGCTTTATTACAACCAGAGAATCTGTTACAATTGCCTCTTTGGCAAAGGCTGATGCGTCAAAAACAAAAAAAAAAGTGTGATGAAAAATATTATGTGCGAACGGTGTAATTTCCTTGTAGCTTCTTTGAATGCACGGGGTGTATAATTGGATAGAAGTCTGATTATTTACAATGAGCAATATCTTATTTCGGCTTTGGGCCAGAGAAAAAAGTTGAATATTATTTGCACGAAAATAAAGTAAACAAAAATAATAAACAGTGACAGAAATATACCGTGTGCCTCAAAAAATGTAGGCACTTCCACCACTGAAACAGTGGCCTCTTTTTTTTACAATTCCTACCGTCTTGATACACCAGACGTAGCAGGAGCGTCTACATCAGTTAGGAACTCAGACGTTCAGTCCTGTTTTGCCATTTTGCGTCAAACAACACTAGGGCCTTGACTGCGTTGGTTACAAACTACATTTTTTTCTCTCTCGTCACTCTTCGATCCATTCTCTGTAACCATGCACGGAATTTCAGGAAAGGATCGAGCAGCCTCACTTTTGCTGAGATGCACTTTTTTCTGTAAATTGAGTAGTTGTGTGCGTTATATAAAATTACCGGACACGTCAACCTGAACTTGATGCCTACACAGTTGATGTAATATCGGCCCTCGAACCAATAAACAGCCTTACGCAACACCAGTTCTGCAACCTGTACATGGCTTATGCAGTACGTCATGCCGTTTACACTCGGGACATTTACGTAACAGTAGCGAAGAGTTGGGCAATCACTGCTGGTTTTACGCGATGAAATACGACTCGTGTCTACGTGTGGGTTATTTATGCCATATCATGTATATATTTATATATTTATATATATATATATATATATATATATATAAATATATATATATATATATATATATATTGAAATAACTTGAAGATAGCACATAAGAAAAGGATCGTATTTACTAACGTTTCCGCCGTGGCACGGCCTTCGTCAGAGTCATATATATATATATATATATATATATATATATATATATATATATATATATATATACACAACTGATTATTTGCACCGCTATTAGTCAGCTTGTATTTATATCGACTACTCAGCTTGTAATTTATCGACTACTCAAAGCACATGAACACTTATCGCTGTCAAAAAGCTATCCCTTTTCTGGGCCCATTTGTCTGTGTGCTCACATGTAAACATCTTCCCGTATGTGCAAAGCCACGAGCCACGAAAGATCTCTTAGCATCTTGAGGACTACCAGAGTTCCGGACCACTTGTGAACGAACAAAGCGAAGCCGTGTTGTGTAGTTTTAAGCTGCCTTTTTATCCGTCTCTTTCTTACAATACTTCAGTCTTTTCTATCCGTTTCCTTTGTGTTTTTTCCTTCCGCGCAATCTGATTGTAGGTTAGCCAACCGAG